GGTAAATTCCCATGCAAAGCGCAACTTCCCTTACAAAGCAAACTGCCTTTTTGCCTTTAATAAATCAACGCCCTTTTTCGGCCAAATCTCCCTCACCAACACTAAGCTCCTGAACGGTCTTGTAGAGGTGTCTATCCTTGCTATTTAAAATTGTGCTGCTGGACACTTTTACACTGATTTACCATCTGTGGTCTTTAATTCTTGTAGTAAAACACCTGCCTGTACTATTTCTCTTGTTCATTTTGGCCAATTCTCCCCTATTAACTGCTTGCCCGCTGCCCTATAGTAGAACTATGGCTACAGGGCGGCAGTGCTTTGCATTTCCGGGTAGGAGGCGCATGCGTGCCCCCCTATCCACGTTGCCATTGGCAGCTAAGCATGTCACCCGGCAATCACCGTGCAAAGCTGACAGTAGAGAGACCTGTGTGTAAACACAGGTCTCTCTCCTGCCAGCAAGGACATGCTGCTTTGTAATTCTGTGTATAGCACAGAAATACAAAGCAGCATGCCTCCCTAGCAAAACACACACAGTAAAACACACACAGCACACAGTTAACCCTTTGATCACTCAAAAGTTAACCCCTTCCTGCCCACTGTCATTAGTACAGTGTCAGTGCTTTTTATTAGCACTGATCACTCTATTAGTGTCACTGGGGGTGTAAGTGGCAATTAGTCAGTTCCTACCCACTGTCAGAATACCCGCCACAGTCCCACTATAAATCGCTGATTGCCACCATTACTGGTGTAAAAAAAAATTAAAAATACAAATTTCAGTATATACACCGCCATTTGTAGATGCTATGACTTTCATGTAAACCAATTAATTTACATGTATTGCCATTTTTTTTTTATTAGCAAAGACATGTAGCAGAATACATTTTGGTCTAAATTTGACAAAATTTGATTTTTCAAAAAAAATTTATGGGATATGTTTTAGCAAAAAGTCAAAAATATATGGGTTTTTTCAAAAAATTGTTGGTCTTTTTTTGTTTATAACGCAAAATTATAAAAAAAACGCAGAGGTGATTAAATACCACCGAAAGAAAGCTCTATTGGTGGGGAAAAGGACGTAAATTTCATTCCACTTTTCCCTATTATCTTAGGTGATCCTTTGACACATCACACTTTTACATGATCCACATCTAATACCAATCACTTTGTCTTCCTAAAGACCTGTATACTTCAACTTCTTTTGAAAAAGTATTAAAGATATAAAAAAAAAACATTTTTTTTATATATATCATCTATCTCAACGAAAAAAGCTAGCAGATATATGGAAAAGTACAAAAGGATATGAAAACCTATTATTTAAAGTAAAAAAAAATCACTGTGTTTGGCAAGTATTGAATATTGCACAATGCTCCTAGCCTTGCTATGCCCGTAAGGTTTTTTTTGCATAGTTGTAAAAATTACTCTGACAAAAGGTCAAGAGGGAAAGTCCCATCGCAAAGAGAAAAAAAAAAGGCTGGTTATCCCCTACTGCAGAATTTCTAAATGAGCTGAAAACAAACTCTGATAGATATATTTCTAATTTGAAACTGTGCCGATTTGTAGTAACAAATACAAGAAAAAGCAGAGGGACTAAGGGCTCATGTACACAGGGTGTTTAGCCGCTTTTGCATACTGCTTTTATTCTCATTTAGCCACATTTATGCGCGTTTGCGTTTTAGAAGCGTTTTTAAAAGATAACCCTCCCAAATGCCCAGAATGCACTGAAAAATAGTAAATAAATAACTATTTCAGACATTTTGAGAGAAATAGAGAGAGCAGAAGCAGAGAGAGCAGTATGTGTTGAGATGACCTGTCTTTTCTGGTTGTATTCACTATGGATCCCATCATGAGAATATTGTAGCACGTTCTACCATTTTTTTCATCACGCAAAACCTGGAACTGACTGCACTGGTGTACTAGGTCCATTTGAATACATGAATAACGCTTTGCATGCTTTTTTGATGAAGAAAAAAGGCTCTGGACAGTATCTGGATATGGACCTGTCAAAAACGCGTCTAAACGCAAACGCCTGTAAACGCGGTTAACAGCCGGTAAAATCTACTCCTGAACGCAATTTTGGTGCGTTCAAGAAAACGACGGTAAACTCAACTGCCTGTAAATGACTATGTACATGGACACATAGGAAAACATAAAAGGAGAGTTCAGGCGCTGCTGAAAAAAACGCTCAACAGGTCCTGAACGTCAGTTTAGCAGCTGCAGTGTACATGAGCTCTAAGCATGGTAGTCTATCTGCTTGCTGCAAGTAGTAATTGTGAATCCCAACTGAATGTTCAGTTTAAACTGGTGGTAAACCTCATAGATGAATATGAACAAAGCATATCCCTCTCTAGTGTATGCTTGTCTCAATTAAAAGCACTTAGTCTCACAATGGTGTGACTTGTCGTGCGATAGTGATAGTTGTCATGTGATAGTGATCCCAAAAGGGGAAGTTCCGCTTTAAGGACTGCTCCCCCGCTCCCTATTAAGGATTGGCACCTTTGGGGAGCGGGTACCCGAATTTGACAGGTACCTGCTCCCACTTCCGGTCTGATCGCCTAGGCGATCGGAAACGGAAGGTGTCCTCCCTCCCTCCCTGTGGTCTTTTGGAACACGTGTCATAGAAGACTACAGGACCATTCATGAAGCGCAGCACTACTCGCACATGCGCAGTGGGTACCCGGCTGTGAAGCTGCAAGCTATCACAGCCGGGTGCCCACAGTGAAGATGCCGGCCTCCTGGAACACAGGACGGCCGGTGAAACGAGCTGCAGGGGACACACCACGGGACCGAGGGACAGGTAAGTGGCTGTTTTTTAAAAGTCAGCAGGTACAGTTTTATTTTTTGATAGGTCGAGTGGAACTCTGCTTTAATGTGTTTTTTGCCTCCTATGTAAAGTTCTCTGTGAGATCCCGAACCTCTTCTTTCTCCCCTCACTTCCATTTGTTTGGAATCTGCAGTGCACATTAGTTGTGGTCATCTGCACTTCTCTACGCACACTACAAATCCCATAGTCCATCCTGGGAAGTGAGCAAGAGGAGCCGGCTCTGTGCCTACATACAGTAATACCATGGAAAACGAATGAAGCCACCCTCCAACAGGAAGTCAGATCACAGTAGCAAAAAAAAACCCCCCAAGAAACAAAAAAAAAACAACTGAGATTTGGGGGAGGCTGAGAGCCGTAGAAGGTACCTTTTTGAGTTAAGAACACATACTTGAATAGTCTTTTCTTTTTTTTTAACCAGAGTTTAGTGTCACTATAAATACATTGAAGATGTACAAAGTCAGTATAACGCCAGGACACCGGTTATGAACGTACTTGGTCCAGGTCATAAGCTCACCATGTAGTAAAGGAAGAATTCATTCACCTCCGAAGCCAGATCAGAAATGGCAGCCATCATATCTATGTCCTCACAAGGTCCTTTGTAAACACATCTCCTCAAGTCTCATTATTCTGCAGATATCTTATCTCATGACACTAGGTGATTGGAATGTAGCTGTTATTCAGTTCGGATTGTTTGCAGGACAACACCAGGATACCGGGTGATCTCATAGATTCATCCATGGCTCTGCATTCCCAGCCAAGGAATCCCAGAAATGTGATTGTCCATATATGGTCATTAGTAGACCGGGTGATCTGGACCACCTTGCAGCCACCAGGTCCTGAACGTCATGTTTCGTACCATGGCTCGGATATTTATGCCAACCGCTCCATAATTACTATCCAAGCGTCTCCATCTGGCAACAACACCCCGACCGGCTCTGCATTAAATAGCAGCATCAAGAGGGTTGATGTGGTTTCCTAGGTGACAGACCTCCCCAGACGCAGCGGCCTGGTCCTCCGGGATCATATACAAAGTGCGGCCACCTCCGACACGCTGGGAATTCATTCATATTGAAATAAACTTTCCATACATTCCCTGCCAGAGCTGAACATGTGTAAACTATACAATCAGCCCGCAGTCCTTTGATCAGCAAGCGCGCACATTCACTTTACAGCAGAGAAGCAGACGTGGAGTCTAATCTACAAGCTAGCAAGCACGTTCTTCAGTCTTGGGAAAATGTTTGATGAAATGTATCCACTTCCAGACCAAGCCTTTTCCGGTACTTCTTGTTTACATGTAACAATCAGTACTTTTTGCAAGAAAATTACTTAGAACTCCCTAACATTTTGTTTTTTTATTTTTTTTAAAGCAGAGGCCCTAAAGAATAAATGTAAATGGGGGGGTTTGCAATTTTTTACGTCACACGGTATTTGCGCAGTTGATTTTCAAACACAATTTTTGGGGAAAAATTTTTTTTTTTTTTTAAATGTTAATGCAATGGCGACATACGGCATAAATTGTACTAGCCATAGGAGAAGCTTTAAAAACCTTTCCAGGTTACCACTTTAGATTTACAGAGGAGGTTTGGTGCTAGAATTACTGCCCATGATCTGACATTTGCAATGATACCTCGCATGTGTGGGACGATCACTGTTTGCATGCGTACAGGACTGATACGTACGTTCGCATTTGCAAGGGTGGCACTTTAATTTTTAATTATTACATTTATTTTTTTACACTGTTGCTTTATGTGTTTTGTTATCACTTTTATTTGATAAGACCCCAAATCCCTCCTCTGCCCTTAAAAGCATTCAAAACCTCAAGATCGATGTTTTCAAATGCTTTTGATTTTTAACTGCCTCCCGCCCGCCATAAAAGGAAATGACAGGCGCAAGGCGGTTCTCTTGTTCTGTGAGGACATCATATGACACAGCGGATCACCGATCAACGGAAAGAGCCAAAGATGTCGGTTCTGTCATGTGATCAGCTGTGTCCAATCATAGCTGATCGCACATAAATAAGGGAATGCCAGTTATCGGCATTCCTCTCCTCACGAGCGCTCATGCTGACAGCTCGTGAGGAGAGGAGAACCAGTAATCGACATTACTCAGAGGGGACATCTACAGTGATCATCAGGGCACTGATGATCAGTGTGCCCTGATGATCAGTGTAGTCCCATCAATGCCACCTGCCAGTGCCCATCAATGACACATATCAGTGCCCATCTGAGCTGCCTTTCGGTGCCGCCTATCAGTGCCATATATGAGTGCTGCCTTTCAGTGCCCATCAGTGATGCCTGTCAATGCCCATCAGTGCCACCTACCAGTGCCTCCTCATCAGTGCCCATCACTGCAGCCTCATTAGCGCACATCAGTGAAGGAGAAAAATCACTTATTTACAAAATTTTTTATAACAGAAACTAGGAAAAAAACTTTTTTTCAAAATTTTCAGTTGTTTTTGGTTTGTTTAGCAAAAAATTTAAAACTCAGAGGTGATTAAATACCACCAAAAAAAAGTTCTGTCTCAAAAAAAGATACAAATTTCATATGAATACAATGTTGTATGACCGCGCAATTGTCAAAGTGCGACAGCACTGAAAGCTGAAAATTGGCCTGGGTAGGAAGGGGGTACAAGTACCCTGTAGGCAAGTGGTTAAATAGCGCTGTTGACATCCGGGTAAACTGGAAGTGATGTCAGGTCATTGCTTCCAGGTTACCATAGCGGAGAGCCCACACAAGGCCAATCCTGGCTTTGTTCAGCTCTTTGACCAGCCATTGGAAGTGCCAGCTGGTTGCTTGGGTCTCCTGGTGGGAAGGGAGAGCTCAAGCAAGTCGCGGAAGGTGGCGGGGGGGCTTCCCCTCGGCTTGTAATAGCAATCGAGCAGCTAATTAGCTGCTCGGATTGCTATTACAAGAGAGCTGACTGCCAGCTCTAGAAATACAGGAATGCAGTAGGCATCATCCTGGTACAACCAGCCAAAGTCCAGCTACGTACGGGTACGTCGCTGGTTTGGAAGTGAATATACTATCTTCTAATCTAAAAGGGAACCAGTCAAGACGGGCCATATGGAATTTTATTAACGTTTAGGCCCCATTTAGATGTGCAGCTCGAGGGGAGTATAAAAATGCATCTAGGAGCTGTGACTAGTGGTCAGATGTCCAAGACTTGTAGGGAAAGTCTTCATTTTCCCCAAAAATATTTCTGGTTATCCGCAATGACCACTCAACACACAAAATACCTCTTCTCTGCGTTAGGAATTGGTTGTTCGGTGACAATCTGGGCTTTTCGGTTACAGTTTTATTGACTACCAGCTTTTCAAATGATAAAGCACTTCTATCCCATTTTAATAAACTCGGCACGACACATCATACGTTCTTTGGATATTAAAAATACAGAAAAAGGGCTGACAGATGTTGGTGTACACCTGGATGGCCCATTTCCATTTTGCTCCACTACCGGTTAGATAAGGTTCACAATACAGGACCTTCATAGGTATTGTTCCTGGTTATACCACGCAATATTAATACTGATAACACTGTTATCTGAATGCTGAAAGCACGTTTCCAGCTCTGCATCTACACGACTCTTTCATTTACCTTTAAAATGCATTTAATAATGAGTCACTGTGCATTTTGCAGACTTTCAGTGCATTTGAACATCGAAGCAAGCAGGATTTTCTTGAATAAGCACAGTACAAAACATATAGGCAAAAACACTACTAGAAGACACGGGGGTTTACGAAAAGGGTAGAGCCTCTTCACTAAGGCTCACCATACATGTTACAATCTAAGCATACAATCTCTGTGCAATCTACCAAAATCATATAATATGGGGACCTGTCCGAAATATATTACAATCAATTTGCAAACAATCAGAAAGGCTTTTGCACTACATGTTTACTGGCAGATCTAGAGAAGATTGTACAATCAAACCTGGTAACAGGTTTGTGGTGAGCTTCAGTAAAATGAATGTTTACTCTGCAAACAGACCGTTAATAAAAGACCAACCTTAGTTCACTTTGAATACCGAAGTTATGTGCAGGGAGAAAAACTAAAAAAAAGTAAAAAATAAAATGACATATATGCATGTATGTAAAAGCAGAAATCATGTTGTAATGGCCAACTCCGACCCCCATCTCCTGCTCCTTGACTGGCAGGAGGTCTCTTACTACATACCTTTACTGGCAGGTGTTGCCAGTCCCCCCCCCAAACACATAACTGGCAGGTCTCCCCCCCCAAGCTCTTTGATTGGCAGGGGTCTCCTCCCCACTCCCTGACAGGCAGAGGGTCACCCCCCCAAATCTCCTTTAACTGGCAGGTGTCCTCCCCCCCCCACACTCCTGGACTGGCAGTGGTACCCCCACAACACTCCTTGACTGTCAAGTGTCCCCTGCACACTTCTCATTTGGCAGGCGGTCTTCCTCCCCACACTCGGTGACTGGCAAGGGACCCCCATCCCTATTCCTTGACTGGCAGGGGTCTTCTTGCTCAGATCCCATCCAACTCAGAAGTCTGACAGCAATAAAAGACCAAGTTGTCCACTCTTATTTTTTAAAGCATTTGGTCTAAGTATAGATCTCTGCTTATCCAGAGTATGTTTAGGTTCACTTACTGTTTATTGATTCTCTACGTCTGCTGGAAGTCTGTTTCCAGCATCCACTACTCCTTCAGTAAAATATCATTTCTATTGACCATCTTTTCCCATCGTTGCCAGTTCTGTCCTGACCCTTGGTTGGGGGTATACTCTACAGCTTCCCACTTTCTACCCTCAATACGACGGTATGATCCTAAATATGTGGGCAGCACAGTGGCTAAATGGTCAGCACTTTTGCATTGCAGCCCTAGGGTCATTGGTTCGAATCCCAACCACAGCAGCACCTGCCTGGAGTTTGCATCTTCTCACTGTGTGAGTGGGTTTCCTCTGGGTACTCTGGTTTCCTCCCACACTCCAAAGACATGCTGGTAGGTTAATTGGATTCTGTCTAAATTGTCCCTAGTATGTATGAATGTGAGTTAGGGACCTTAGATTGTATGCCGCTTGAAGGTTAGGGACTGATGTGAATGTACACTATATATGTAAATTAATGGTGCTATATAAGGACCTGTAATAAATAAAATAGAATCACTTTTACGATCATCACCAGTTGGACGACATTGCTCTGGATAGATGTTCCATGCGTACTAAATGGAGACGCCAAGTCTGCCACAAGTAGAGTCCTCTTCTCCGGCAAGTTAGAATAGTTCACCAATAGAATAAAAATAAAAGAACAGCTCCTTCAAAAAAAAAAAACCTATTGTGCAGAATGGTTCTGGTTACATTTACAAAAAAAAAAGGATTGTAAGCTCTCCGTGTCAGGGCTGCATCTTACCTGCACACTCCATCATTCCAGGCATGGCTGGGGCAGTGTGGGGTCACTTGCTGCCCATGGGGAGACCAGGATAGGCAGCGCAGTCAGCTCCCATGTCCTGCGCTGTATGCTGCTCCCTGCAGATCAATGCTGGAAAGTCCCAGACAGGAAGTTTTTCTCAAGAAGCAGGCTGGACTCTTTCAGGAAATGATGAGAACGAAGCAGCAGGACATGCGATTAACCCTTCAAGCCCCAATGAAGGTGGAAGAGGCGAAACACGGCATGCTCATCCTACAAGACACAAGGCAGCTCTGATCAGCGGCACTAGACAGTCAGAAGTAAACCCCCCTCTTCTCATGACATAGGCAGGGGGAGGGCCTTCCCAGGATACATATTCATACAGCCAGAACACATGATGAAAGGAAACTAGAGCCACAGGAAAGGGTATTTCTGCGATTATTTGTCACAAGGAGTGACCTGACTTGTGAGTGACTAAAAGATGACATCATTTTCATCATAGAATCGTAAACGGGGCTAAAGGTTAGCAGCATGTATGTTACAAAGAAAGAGTTAAAGCCATATGAACCAAAAATGTCATGTATGTGTATGTATGAATGTGACTTAGGGACCTTAGATTGTACGCCCCTTGAGGGGTTAGGGACCTTGGATTGTACGCCCCTTGAGGGTTAGGGACCTTAGATTGTACGCCCCTTGAGGGTTAGGGACCTTAGATTGTACTCCCCTTGAGGGTTAGGGACCTTAGATTGTACGCCCCTTGAGGGTTAGAGACCTTAGATTGTACTCCCCTTGAGGGTTAGGGACCTTAGATTGTACACCCCTTGAGGGTTAGGGACCTTAGATTGTACTCCCCTTGAGGGTTAGGGACCTTAGATTGTACGCCCCTTGAGGGTTAGGGACCTTTAGATTGTACGCCCCTTGAGGGTTAGGGACCTTAGATTGTACGCCCCTTGAGGGTTAGGGACCTTAGATTGTACTCCCCTTGAGGGTTAGGGACCTTAGATTGTACGCCCCCTTGAGGGTTAGGGACCTTAGATTGTACGCCCCTTGAGGGTTAGGGACCTTGGATTGTACGCCCCTTGAGGGTTAGGGACCTTAGATTGTACGCCCCTTGAGGGTTAGGGACCTTGGATTGTACGCCCCTTGAGGGATAGGGACTGATGTGAATGTACGATATATATGTAAAGAGCTGCGTACATTGACAGCGTTATATAAGTACCTGAAATAATGAATATATTGCAGCTTACCAATCATTAAATGTGGTCTGGGCAGGGCGGACTGACCATTTGGAAACTCGGGCATTGCCCGAGGGCCCGGGGTCAGTAGGGGGCCCCATGAGATGTCCCTGGTACCTTTTTCATAGGTTTTTTTGAGTTTGGGCAAGGACACAGGGGCCCCATGATCCCCTATTGCCCGGGGGCCCCATGATTTGTCAGTCCGCCCCTGGGTCTGGGTAATAACATATTTATTTATTTCAGGTACTTGTATAGTGCCGTCACTTTTTACATATATATTATACATTCACATCAGTCCCTAACCCTCAAGGGGTGTACAATCTAAGGTCCCTAACTCACATTCATACATACACATACTAGGGACAATTTAGACAGGATCCAATTAACCTACCAGCATGTCTTTGGAGTGTGGGAGGAAACCAGAGTACCCGGAGGAAACCCACGCAAGCACAGGGAGAACATGCAAACTCAAGACAGGTGGTGCCATGGTTGGGATTTGAACAAGTGACCCTAGTACTGCCAGGCGGAAATGCTAACCATTTAGCCACTGTGCTGCCCACTTCCTGTATTAATGTGCCTTCACTCTGGATGAAGGTGCATGGGAGGCACAGCGGACAGCAGCATTGTCAGTCTGGAGGGAGGGGAATGTTAGATGGACTAGCAGACTTATGCCGGCCATAGACGGGTCGCTAATCGGCCGATTTTTCGGCCGCAAAAAAAAAAAAAATCAGCCGATTTTCACAGTGGGATTAATTGTTTGGCCGTTTTTCGGGTTTTGTGCACAGTTTTTCTATCAGTCATGTTGGAAAATTTGCGGGCGATTTTGACGATCGGCCGATTTTCCTGCCAATGATGGGCAAATCGGCCGATTGTTATACCGATAAAAAATCCGCACATGA